TATCTCGCGCCAAAACTTCTGAACTGGTGGACAGAACCAAAGAGCGTGGATATAATTGTCCGGTGAATTGGTTTGGCAGTGTGAGCAGTTGTTGGTAGACGTAAAGCCCATCTTGAACATCCGATGACCTGTATAGTGCACTCTATGTAATATTTTGTATTGAATTAATTGAAGACTGGGATTTCTAATTAGATGAAAGGTTTTTAAGCAAATCTGAGACCAGAAGTTTAGGTCTAAGTTAACTGATAAATCCGCTTCCCATTTTGCAATAGGACGTGATATTGATTCATCTGTTTTAGAAAGCATTCTGTATATTTTGGATAGTAATTTGGGGGGTTTAAGAGTAAGAAATTGAACCACACTTGGTGGTGTTTGTAGTTCAACTTGACCCGGTTTAAATTTCTTTTTTACTATGGATTTAATTTGTTGATATTCTAAAAATCTTTTCTTGTTGATCCCATATTGTGTAACTAGTCCGTCAAATGAAATAAATTCTGTTCCTTCTAGTATATGTTCTAAATATTTGATTCCTTTATCACTCCAATCTGAAAAGTTTATCATATTATTGTTTTGTAATATGTCAGGGTTGTTCCAAATAGGTGTACGTTTGCATGGGATTAATGAAGACACCGTCAATTTTAGAAACTCCCACCATGCTGTCAGAGAAGAGCTGATGTTGATGCTTTTAAAGCATTCATGTCGTTGGATGTTTGAGCTGATAAATGGTAGGTCTGAGATCTCTAGATTATTGCAGAGTGCTTGTTCTACATCTAGCCAAGGTTCATCTAAGAGGGTGTGTTTTAGCCATCCTGAGATAAACTGAAGCCTGTTGGCCAAGAAGTAGTGCTGAAAGTTAGGCAGTTCTAGTCCTCCTTTATCCTTGGTCTTTTGTAGTGTTTTTAAGCTTATACGTGGGGGTTTATTTTTCCAAAGGAATTTGGACATACATGAATCTAGAGATCTGAACCAATCTTGTGGCGGTTTAGTTGGGATCATTGAGAATAAATAATTTATTTTTGGTAAGACCATCATTTTTATAGCGGCAACCCTTCCCATGAGTGATATGGGTAGACATTTCCATCTAGCCAGATCATCTTCTACCTTCTTTAAAAGTGGGATATGGTTTAATTTAGTTAGATCTGCAAGCTTGGGAGAAACATTAATACCTAAACATTGAACATTTCCAAGGAGGTCCGTCTTGGTGCTTTCGTTTTATGAAACGGTGCCATTTTTCCATCCGGACCAGGACTACGGTAGCGCAGCAACTTCCAGCGGATTATAAGGAAAAGCTGGCCATCTTCCGCTCCTACTGCAGCAAATGCATCGCCGACAAAAACATCCAGCCCAGCCACATCACTAACATGGACGAGGTCCCGCTCACTTTTGACATCCCGGTGAGTCACACTGTGGAGAAGAAGGGGACCAGCACGGTAGCGATACGCACAACGGGGTATGAAAAGTCTTCTTTTGCTGTTGTGCTTGGCTGCCATGCTAATGGACAGAAACTGCCGCCTATGGTGATTTTTAAGCGAAAGACTTTGCCTAAAGAGAAGTTTCCAGCAGGAATCATCATTAAGGCAAATGAAAAGGGCTGGATGGATGAGGAAATGATGAAAGACTGGCTGAGGGGGGTGTATGTAAGGAGACCAGGTGGTTTTTTCCACGCATCACCATCGCTCTTAATCTGTGACTCTATGCGTGCCCATCTCACAGCCGATGTGAAAAAACTAGTGAAACAAATGAACTGTGAGCTTGCTGTCATTCCGGGAGGCCTGACAAAGGAGCTCCAACCGCTGGACATCAGTGTGAACCGCCCGTTCAAAGTAAGGCTGCGAGCGGCCTGGGAGCGATGGATGACCGATGGAGACCACAGTTTCACCAAGAGTGGAAGGCAGCGCCGGGCGAGTTACGACACAATTTGCCAATGGATTGTAGATGCTTGGGCTAACATGTCTGCTGGCACTGTTGTTCGAGCTTTCGCAAAAGCTGGCATCATTTCCAAGGAGCCGCACGGCACGGAAAGTGACTCTGACAGTGAAGAAAGTGAACCTGGCATGTTTGATGGAGATTTAGCGCAGCTGTTCAATTCAGACACAGAGGATGAGGACTTCGATGGGTTTGATTGATGATAAAAATGTGAGTACCAAACTTTGTTTTGCTCCTGCTTTATTTTTAAATATGCACACTTGTATGCTTGTGTGTTGTTGATGATGACGATTACTGGTAATAGAAATGTGAGTAAGGTACCGAACTCAGGTTTGCTCCCGCTTTATTTTTAAATACGCATACGGTACTTGTATGCGCCCTATGTGTGTTAAATACAGTAATGGCACACATAACTGAGACTGCGCCTTTTAGTACAGTGCGTCTTATGGTCGTGAAAATACGGTAGTCTTTTTTAATCAACAAAACTGTTTTTTTTTTTTAAATATCTTGCTGCATTTTCTATAAGTTCATACTCAAGTTTAAAACAACAACTACACTAAAGCTATTCTGTTATACCTATATGCAAAAAAAAATATTTCATAGTTCCGAAATACTGATCAATCTAATAAACTTAAACCTACATCATCCTCACTATTCTGGTATTTTAAAGAGTACTTAGCGTAAATATTAAGCAACCTAACTAATAGGGTTCCAACTCCCAGCAACAACAAAAATAAATAAATAAAAAATAGGGAACCACCCCCCACCCTCCACCTCATGATGCTTAATCGACGTAATCAACCTTAATTTGATGCAGTGTGAAAGAAAATGCACAGAAATCAATTATTTTTCAAGAAATATTAAATAGATTCAACATCTTTCTTCAACAAAATTGCAGACTGCACAGATGGTACCTTCCCAAAGGAAAAAGTACTATAGCTTACTAGGGTATATATATATATTAGACTTAATAGTCACTATATACAGTAATTGACTTCTATTCATTTTACATCAAATTAAAACTTTGGGTGTCAGATAATTATTTATTAAAAGCTAGACATTTTAAATGAGAATAAGAAAGAAAAGTATGACTTTGTGTCCCCCTTTTCCCTGTTAATGCGCTATTGGCCCCCCTGGCTAAACTTTGATCCGCCCCTGCACAGTTACCAGCTGTCAGCTACGTAGAAAAGGATCCTCGAGTAGAAAGTAATATTAAATACATTCTAACAACAGCTTATCAAGCTTAAACGTGCTGCTGTTGTTCAGCCGCTGGTTTCCTCTTTCTGGTGCAAAGTGGGCCAAAAACAAAGAAGAGAGATGGAGTCCCGACAGAAAAGCCGATCAGCTGATCATTAAGCAGTTTCATGATTGAAGTAGCAGCAAGAAGAGGCAGTCGCTTGTTAAGCTTAACGCAGGAATGCTTTACAAACATTCAGAGATGGACTTACACACTTGCTTTACTTCTCTCGGGGATAACTTTGTCGGAGATGAAATGCCGGGTTGCAAGCGAAGCTCCACATGCTATCCAGACCACCGACAGGTCCCGCATGCCACAGCCGCTCTATCACGTGATGCATACTGCTCCGACGTGCTAACGTTCTGAGGCGAGTTACGGCGTGTTGCAAGTTTTGTGAGCTGCTTTCGTGATATTTAATGGATCGGATTACATTTTTTATTTTTCTCCGATATCCGATCCAGTAATTTAGGTCAGTATCGGACCGATACCGATACGTAATATCGGATCGGTCCATCTCTATGTTCTATATTGAATAAAGTAGGGGTTTATAAGATTTTAAAATCCCTCTATTCTATTTTTAGTTACATTTTAAACAGCGTTCCAACCTTTTTGGAGTTGGGGTTGTAATATTACTTGAGTTGAGTTCAGGCAAGCATCAATACAATAGTGGGTTCAGTGAGGGGTTATGTAAAGATCCAGTGATGCAGAAAGTAATTGCAAATGACTGACAGCGAATTACCCCCCCTCCCCCTCCCCTCTCTCTCAATTACCTGCTTCTTAAGTAATACCTATGTGAGTTTCCATTCAGCGGCTCGTTAAACAATAGCATACAGTGTGCAGTGCTTCTGCACTTAGCATGCTACATTAATCCAGCTGCTGCAAGGTCAGGGCTTTTTAAGCGTCAACAGAGTGTGTGCATAGGGGAACACTGCTGTTACAGGTATGAACACGCTCATGTACTTGGTGGTGTTTTGATCTCAGGTGATGCTAATATTGTGGCTTTTGTTAAAAAAATAAAATCTTGTAAATCCAAAATCTGTAAAAAAAAAAAAAAAACAACAACAACAACAACAAAACAAACAAAAAACAATCTTATTAAAAAGCATCTAACATCTGAATTTACTGCACTGATGCTGAAGTCCATTCAGTCAGTCACTAATAGATGTGCAACAGACTTTTAATAAGAGAGAACTAAAACAATGCCTTTCAGGCTGAAGTTTTAATGGTAAAGAAGTGGAATAATCTCCACTGGCTCAGTCTCTTCCCCGATGTCAACCAGACGGAGCTGAACATCACTAAAAGCAGAAAGACCCACAAACAACCACTAAAAGCAGCCACAGTGAAGGTTAGCAAAACACCACTAAGGAGGAAAGCCAGTCTTTGGTGACGTCCATGAAAAATAAGCACTTCTGTTATTGTTGTGCGAGTTTATCCTATTAAAATTAAAACCCAGAAAATAAGGAACTGTGCATAAAATAGCTGCATTTTGACATATTATTATTATTGCATATAAATATTAATGTTCAACTTCTTAAATTAAAACCTTAAGAGTTTCCAGGTCAGCCTGTCTTAGTTGTGTAACTGCAACTTGTATATGGTCAGCATAAATTACAAATCCCACAACACATAATCTTGTGCATACTTTCCAAGTAATATATAAATGTTACGAGCTCTTAGATTGACCAGCGACATAATCAAACAACATTAGTGAAAATTAGTGCACATCAGAAGGGGACTTGGATAAATTCATGGTAAAAATGATGGCTGTGAACATTTACGTGACCCCATGTTTTCCATGTGTTTGTGTTGGTGTATGGAGGTGGCAGCACTGCTGTACCTCAGCGGGGAACAGCTTCTTGTCCACGGTGTGCTCTGAGCCCCAGGCGTTGGTCTCACCCCAGTGGAAGTGGAACTGGCAAAGCCTAAATTTGTCTTCCATGGGGCCCCCTTGTAGCGCTGCAACCATAAAGTTCAAGGACATGAAAAATCAGTGCATCAAACATGGATTCGTCCAGAGGAAATAGCTTATGTTTCAAGGAATTTTTAATTACTTGTTTCCTCCTTCAAAGGGTGGAAATTATCAGACAAAGACTGACTGTTCAGAAACAGGTTGTTCAGGGAGTAATACTGACATCAAACATCCAGGAAAAATTAAGGTGAGAACGAGGCTATGAAAGAATAATGTTTTATTGTCCTCACAGTATCTGTACACTGACAAGGCCTCTCGTTCTCCAAATACAGCAGCATAAAGGTTTCTGTTGTCAAAAAAATAAAGGCTAAAGTTCTTCACAAAGTGAAGTTTATAAACCTGTTATTGTTCTCGCAGACTAAGCTTTAAAGCTTTTAATACAAAGACTGGCAGCATGTGACACCCTATAAAGTGTATTGTTGTAATCTCACCAAAACATGATTTATATTTAGAATCTTAATGGGTAGTAAAGTTAGTGTTTTGGCACACCCCAGTAATTATACTAAAATGACACTTTAAGGACAGGGTACGTTGCACTTTTAAGGGTCAGCACAAACATACAAGTCACATGACAGCCCACATGGCACCTTTAAGAGCAGTATTGCTTACTGGATTTTCCTACATATTGAGTGCTCTTTAAGGGGGAGTGCAGGAAAAGATAATCCCCTTGTGTAGACCAAAACATACATTCCTACAGCTGAGATTTCCCTTAAATTCTTCCCGATTTAAATGGAAGCTACAGACCTGCTGCCATCTGAGCAGGCAACAAAGAGGAACTTACATGGTACAAACTGTAATCTTACTTTCTAGGTTTCTAGGGAGTAATTACCTGAATAACTTAATGTGTACTGTTTGGAGTATTTTAACTAAATATATACATGCAGATTACAAAAGAGTACTTACTGGACTTGTCTGTAGTGTCATCGTACTCGACCAGAAACGAGTAACCGTTGTTCCAGATTTGTTGGCAAGTATGCGGGTCGTATTTGGTAACCAGAGGCTTCAGCTTTGAATCAAAGATGCTCTTGCGTACGACAATATCAATTGGCGACTGACGATCCCCTCCTGGTACCACGAGGGGTCCCTGCCACATGGGATGCACTGAAGGAGATGAGAAGGAGGAAGAGGAAAATGTAAAAAAAACAAAACACAAGTTAGTGATATTGAAGATTATCGTTTTCCAGTCAGAGTTAAAAATTCTTGACAAAGGGAACAGCAGAAAAGATTACCCAAAAAAACCCTTAAACCTACTTTTCATGTTGCACTCCGCTGCTTCCTGCATTTTTGTAAAATCCATTATTTAAAAAATAATAATAATTAAAAATGCTTCATAAAAAGAAGATTCAAATGGTGACAGTATTAGAAAGACAGGTACAATCCTTCTTCCCCGAGCTCTTAAAAGGAACTGACTGAAAAGTCAGCAAGTAAGCAATCTCACTTCCTTTTAGTCCGCTTACTTTTTTTTCCCTAAAGGAAATTACTAAATAAGAGAGAAGTGGGCCGGCTGTACAGAAAGTGACACGCGGAATGTCTTGGCACGCCCTCAGCTCGCCTCCACAGCAGGAGAACCTGACCAGGACCTCTGGCCAGTCAAACTGCACGCTCAGTCCAACATCTGTCAACAGACCTGACTTCTAATTACTCAAAGCTCTGCTTATTCTCTCTGCCTCCCTATTTAGGTGTTGTGCCTCTGCTATTGAAATACATCCAAAACTATTTTAAAAAGTCTTTTCCTTAGAAAAAGAAAAGGACACACACAGTTTAAAAGACTATTTCACTCATTTATCTGAACCTAGATCAACAAGAAAAAGAACATGCGCAGTTCATAGGGCACAAAGGCAGTTCAGTCTTTTATTTTCCTTATCATTCATTCTCTCCGGAGCATAAGGTTTCCACTGAGAGCCAAGCTCAACAGGTCCGACTGGGACATGACCTTCATCTTCATGGGATTTCAGTGGCTCCTCCTAGGAGAGTCGGCTGCCTGTCTCAGTTATTGCATGAACAATAACTGCTTCCAAAGCCATGCATGCTCTTGCACTGCAATTATCAACTGTGGAGTTTATATGGCCTTGAATCCATAAAAGGGACTCACTTCAGGAGCATATCACAAATCACTTATCCTAATTTAAATCAGGGTGGAGGTACCGAGCAATTGCTCGAGTTTTCCTGGCACAGGACAAGATGTTTATATCTTGCCTTGCAGACATCAGCGAATCTGCCAAGCTCGCATTTCATTTCCCATAGACGCATCATAATAAAAGCTTCACAAATGCAGGGGAAAAAAAGTCATACCATCCAATGTGCAAGACTGGTAACTGTGATATGATAGTGTCGCTACACATCCTGGACACAGGGACCTGAATCTTTTCAAAGACTTTCACAACAGTCTTGAGTAACCAGCCTAATAACATGTTCTGAGCCAATTAGTGTATTGCACCTCACTGGGGGACCATCACAGCTGAGCTCCAGTCACTCCTGCTACCAAACAGAAGAGTGTGCTTGGAGTCATTCTTCTTAATTAGCAAACAATCTCTGATATAAGCGAGCTCGTAAAAATAATAATCTGAAAGTTTTTAACAGGTTCTGGCAAATTAAACTTACAAATAAGGAATTAAAAAAGAATTAGAAACGAATGATCTGAGTAATATATTACATAAATGTCAAATAAAATGGACTCCTCGCCGACTAAATGATTACTATGTATAATGGTTCTGAAAGAAGGAATGGTTTCAGCAAAAACAGTAACAAAATACTGTTTTCTCTGTATACTCCAAAGACCTCAGTAACTCCAAACCTCTGCAGGGAAAAACTTTGTGCCCTGAGCTGAGGCTTGCAGGTAGAATCTCTTTATGTTCAGGCTTGAGGTCTGGACTGAGTAAACCATCTGAACCCACTGAGGTGAAAATTTTACCCAACAGGCACTACTGAGGGAACAGAGTGCACCATTGTTCTGAAGCTGGCAAGATATCAGTATGCCTCCCTGCTACTTTTGTTAAGAGTGTACGAAGAGCGAATGTGTCTTTACACAGATATCAAACTGAAGACCAAGCAACTAGCAAAAAAGAAGAAAAAAAATCCCACTGACCAGTTCAAAACAACCCAGTCTTTTGGTAATGCTTTGTACAGACACAGACGGACACAACAAGCTGGTAAAAGTTAAATATAAACTCTAGTTTATTACAATGGTTGAACATAAAAGCTTTGCTGGAATGGACAGTTTTTCTACTCCCAAACAGCCAACTACTCATTTAAGTCTGACCAACAACATTATTTTTCTTCCAATAAGAAAGCTGAGAGGAGCTGAAACTGATTTATTTTTATTTTAGAAACAAAAGACTCCACTTCAAGAGATTCGGCAAATAACCACAGCTTTCCACAAAAAAAATCCACACAGAAAATTGTGTAAAACAAACAATAAGTAAGAGTGTAGCACACCTGGCACATTTTTTAATATACATCCTTGAGCTTCAGCTGGACGTCAGTCAAAATTATAGTAAAAACTTTACCTTTTAATAGGTTTTTCCCTTTGACTATTTTTAAAGCTACTAGTAGAACTTGTTATCACTTTTTATTACTTCACCAGTTTTTTTTATTTTGCCTTTTTACTAAGTGGAACATAATGGCCTTGCCATGTTGGTCCATTTGATTGACCTTTATTATTATTATTATTATTATTATTATTATTATTATTATGCATTTATTTTATTTTCAGTTGTTACAGATGGGACAGACATGACTGGGAGAATGAAGGAAGGAAGGAAGGAAGGAAGGAAGGAAGGAAGGAAGGAAGGAAGGAAGGAAGGAGGGAAGGAGGGAAAAAAGACAGAGGGGAAGAGGGACAGTGAGAAAGGGCACTTAAAAAAACCTGTTGAGAGAAGAAAAAACAGAAGAGAAAACAAGCAAAGGGGAGAGCAACATAATAAACACAACACCATCGCAATAATCTAGCTAACAGTAAATAACAGCAGCCAACTGCGCCAGAGTGGACAGAAACCCAGGTCCAGGGGCCAGAGGCCTGAGGGCCCCCCACCCCCCTGAACTGGCCCAACCAAGCCACGGGCACCAACCCCTGTCATCTATCTTAATTGCCCCTTGGGGATAAATAAAGTTGTTTTGACTTGACAAGCAGCCACTGGGTAACCCGAGTGCCCAGCCCTGGATACCAAGAACCACCAATGCACCGACATCTGAGGGCATCAGCCACTGGCAGGGAGTGTGGTGAGGGGAGATAGGCCTCCATACCTTGGAGGGCCTCAGGATGGCCCAGCTTTAAAGTAGGTATGTCTATTAATCCGAAATTATTCATATTCCTGTCAGATTTTGATCGATGTTTTTAAAGAAATTTTTGAGATGTCAAATTTAATTTTGCACAGTCAAATAAGAAAAGGTGGCATACAGCTATGAGAAGCAGAGGTGGGACCAAGTCATTGTTTTGCAAGTCTCAAGTAAGTCTCAAGTCTTTATCCTCAAGTCTCAAGTCAAGTCTCAAGTAATGTCAGGCAAGTCAGAGTCGAGTCTCAAGTCACTGGTGTAAAAGTCCGAGTCAAGTCACAAGTCTGAAACTTTGAATTTCAAGTCCTTTCGAGTCTTTAAAAAAAACAAACGAAAAAATAATGTTGCAGTTATGCTAAATGTAAATATTAGACCATGTAATTTTAAAATCTGTGTTTTTCTCAACACATACAAAATAGTGAACTTAGAAAATATACACAAATTGTGAAATTCCACCTCTTTAAAATGCAGCTCAATTAAACTTAGCTCCAAGAATAATTTTCACCGACAGTTCTGAGATACGCTGCATGTTATTCTTGGATGCGGTTGTAGGACCAGCTTTAAAATCGCATGACAAAAATATCATACACATTAAAAAAAACTGTATCACCAACGTAGCCTGGAAAACATTTGCTAGTTGGATGAAGTCAGCTATCTCATCCTAGCATATTTATATGCATATTTATAATTATACGGTTCTTGGAGTGAGTGCATACACTCATGAAGTTTAGTAACTTCCGGTCACTGCAACAAGCCCAGGTACAGTTTACCGACGGATGGGTGCAGGACCTTGAAATGCACCATGTAGAACGAAAGACCATCGTACGTATCATAAGTTTACCAGTCTCACAAATCGTCTTCATAAATACACATTTATTAATAGGACCTTTGAGCTCAACGGTAATTAATTAGTAGTAGAAATAATTTCTGGTACCCATCACAGAAATGTAGCAGTGACAATAATATTGTATGCTGTAATCGTACTGGGCAATTAGTGATACAAAAAAACTGTTTTATCCTGTGAATAAAAGTATGTGTTTTTGTCAGTGTACCATAATAACAGAAGCGAAACACAATATTGTGTCAGGACAATTCACTATTTATGCACAATAAATAAAGGAGCATAGCGCGACAACTTCTGTTCAGTGCCAGACTTGCTTGTAACCTATATCACCAATTATGTTAAGAAAAATTACGCATTAACTACAACAGCAGACTGACCTCTGTGTAAATGCTTGGAGCAGACTAACCTGTGAGCTGGAGTGTTCTAGGACTTTATATTTGATCTTTGAATGGCTGCAATCCAGTCGCCTCTTTGTTACTTCGGAAACATGGCTCGAACAATTTCTCTTCAATGACGTAATCCGATAACAACCGATCTCTTTACCCGTCGGCTTTCCGTGGCTGTCATGCGACCGGCTATTGCAGTTAATAATACAACAGCTTCTTGACATTTTTGTGTTTCTTTTTATCGCTGTGTGACTGATTTTAATTGAAAGCCTGCGTGCGCTAGTACCGCTTGCCACGAGTTCCCAGAATCCTTTGCGGTTCTACCCGTGAATGACGTCACATTTTCAATCTCCATATAATATGCGTGTTAAATTTTATATTTGGGGTAAAATATCAAGTCTTTTCAAGTAAACCGGTTCAAGTCCAATTCAAGTCCCAAGTCATTGGTGTAAAAGTCCAAGTCAAGTCACAAGTCTTAGAACATTTTTTCAAGTCAAGTCTAAAGTCATAAAATTAATGACTCGAGTCTGACTCGAGTCCAAGTCATGTGACTCGAGTCCACACCTCTGATGAGAAGTACAGTCACGTGAATTTGATAGATTTAATACTTTTAAGTATTTTGACAAATTTAAAAATAAAGCATGTTCATGTCTATACTGATTCATAGCCTCTCTTAGTAAATGCCCAGAAAACCTTTTATTTGTGACTATAGCACAGGTCACCTACTAACTATAAAAAGTAAGACAGCTGAAATAAATAACAAACAGGAGAAATATATACAAAACAGAAAATAGAGTGGAGACTGCGAGTCAGGCCAACATCAGAAATTACAATAAATAATTCTAAATATTGTAGAAAGCCTACCCAGAAGAGTTTAAGCTGCTATAGCTTCCAAAGGTGGGCTGACATCATATTAAACCTTATGAATTAATAATGAGATGTCATTCAAGTTTATATGCATGTTAAGGCAATCGAGCAATTACTTTCGCCAATATACTGCATTTTTCAATGTTGACTCTTGTACTTGGCTGGAGACAGCAAACAAGGCAATACTGACATTACCAGGGCGTGTTAGTGAAATTATTAAAACTGCTCAGACAAGCTTGAGTGGTTCAGAAAGTCTGTGGTCTCATGGAAATAAAAGGTGGTGACTCATTAGTTGTGAAACATGCAAATGTTTCATGTCACACATCTGCCAGGAGCACAAGTACATACTGTAATGTAACACGTGACAATTTTTTTAATTTTTATGTGCTCTCAATAAGGATATGCACAGTGGAAACGGCGATTAAGGCGAAATTTCTTTAGTATGACATAAAGTGCATACAAGTAGAAGGTATATAGGTCAAAGGGCGTCAAAGGGCCCCGGTGTGGGGCACACCGATCAGCGGTTATCAATAGGTGTTTGGAAAACCTGGAGTCTGAACACTGCCGAGTCACCAGAGAGGCGACTGATCGAAATCCAGGGATGATCAAAGTCCAGCTCCAGGTTTGCACAGCTCCCCGCGCTGCTGTGGCATGAAAACAAAAGTGACCAACAAACGATGCTGTGTGTCAGCCGCAATGAATGAAACAAGCCGACCACTGCCGAGCTGACACACACACACACACACACACACACACACACACACACACACACACACACACACACACACACACACACACACAGTGAGGGCTGCAGAGATAATCTGTGTGACAATGACCAACGTTACCACACATGCCTTATAAATAAAAGTACTCACTCTGAGACAGCACATATTTGCTTGAGCACGCAGTCAGGTTACATTCTCTGACAGGCGTTATCCGGTGACTCCTGGCTTGTCTGGCGAGCTGTCGGTGAATCTGTGAAGCCAGAGGTCTAACCAGAGCCGAGAAAGTCATAATTTTAACCGAGTTACCTGCTTCCCTGCAAACGAGTCGAGTCGTTAGCTTTTACACTCTCCTAAAGTTAGCTAGCCTGCCGAAAACAATATATCGGCTGGCTTCCCTCCTCCTCCCGTGCCCTCCTACCGTTTTTCTGAAGTCGGGGGAAAC